GGTTGACCCAATGGTTTTCAGGCGGAGGCAAATACTCTTCAACGGTCCAATGAACATTAGGATGAGAGAGAGTAATTTACTGATTTAGTGGCCACGTCACTCAGTACATTCGAGGAGCTCGGAGGACAAGGCGCATAAGTGCAGTTTTTGCTATTTCGTGAAATACGTGTTTGAAGTTTCGAAATTACACGGATCCTTATGGCGGAGAGAAAGTTCATACTGACTTGTTGATGCTTAAAAATTGGACTTCCGGAGCGAATTCCGGCAGAACGACGAAACATGATTGCATGACATTTTTGCAAAGTATTCTGGTAGAAAAAACAAGAGTCGATGTTAAGTTGTTTTACATTTAAAAAATAAATTATAACAGGAAGTCTGCAACGTTGGAAACCGAGATGCGTATTTTGGGAGTTTCACCGTCAATAAGCACCCATGAAAAAGTCTATAAGTGCTTATAGATAAGTACCAGTGACTAATGAAATAACACTATAAATACTCATTTCAGAATTTAGGCTTGAGGTTATGTATTATTGTTTACATTGGAACCTGCTAACAATGGTGTATCGGTAAGGCGATTAAATATCGCAAGAAGGACAGCCACTGAATTGGGCAAACAGTTCAAGAGCAGGAGCTATAAGATAACTGCCGGGCAAGCTAGTCGTCAAATTAATTGTCTACCCACCAGGGTGGCAAAATTTCACGAAAAATAAAATCTTGAAATTTTATGAAATATACAATTTTGAAATTTCACGTGAAATATTTCATGAAATTTCAGAAATTTATGAAAGATATTGAAAAATACCGGTTCCTTTCCAAGTTTTGCAAAATGTAAAAATTGTGACTTTCTTCTATTTTCGTGTGTTTGAGTGCGGGCTACATACTCTAGCCCCTGAAAAATATGAAATATTTCACAGCCTCGTGAAATTTCATGAAGTATTTCACAGCCTCGTGAAATTCATGAAATATTTCAAAAAAAATTCCAATCTTTCATTTCTTTCTTGCGTTTCTTGCCGCCCTGCTACCCACTCGAGGTGAAAGCCGAGTTTTTGCGATCTTTGAGAATTATTTTTATCTAAATACTCTGTAGAAAAGTTACCGCGGTTTATCAAAAATTATATGATTGAATAGTAACCTTTCAGAATGTGACTTATGAGATACTTTACCATCACCCTGATGGTGAGCTATCTCACTACTGAATTGCTGCAGCACTATAGTAACCTAATATACTAGTGCCATGTTGAAAGCAAAAACGCTTGCTGTAAACGAGCGTTATAAAAAATAATAAACGAGACAGAAAAATGCAAAAAAAATTGGCTGAAAGAACAACGGAAAGTTCCATTCGCAAGAGATAAAAAACAATGAAATGGCCCATCCTACTAACGAAATTTATCTGACTATAAAAATGTTAACAAACGAATGACAAAAATTGAGAACTTTAGCATGGATGCTCACCTACGTTCAGCAATTGAAGACACCGCACCAAGAACAGCCTATAACGGGAAACCGCGTTTTGAGAAAAACGCATTTAAAGTTTCGTTTTTGATGTACTGCGCAGACTTTTCTATGCAGGTACCCTGTTTTGGTGTTTTTGGGTGACCTAACCCTTCTATCGAAGGACGCCGGGTAGATTTTGCGATACATTTTGGGTTTATACTCTCATATATTTAATTTAAAAAAGCGGTTTATAGGCCATTATTATGCCCAACAGTCATTTTGGTGGCAATATGAAGTATAAATCATTTTAATCATTTATGATTAACGCAAAATGAAAGAATATCGATAGTGAGTAAAGGAAGGGGTAACTATCACCTTATAGGCCCGTTTATTGGTCGTTCTTGCACCTCGACCTATGAACAGGCCTCTGGATCGCAAGAACGAGAGATCCAGAGGCCTGACTTAACTCGGAAAAAAAAGGTTTTTCGACCTCGAGCCGTTACCTATCTATATTCTATCGCTACCACAGCATAGTCCAGGGTACGTAGAATCCGAAAAGCAGATGGGCGTAATAACGACCTATACGCCTATAGGCTGTTCTTGGTGCGGTGTCCTCAATTGTAACCTTCCGTTACATTCTTACGGCGCAATGATACAACTATTTGAACTCTCCGGAATGCGCGAGGTATCACGCCGCATTTGAAGGCGTTTTCAAAACAGCCAAGTTCCGTTACCCGGATTATCGTTTTGCATCATTCATATTCCTTTGTTTTGTTCCGTACCACTTGTTTATTTTTAATCCTCGTATGAAAACCACCCATTTGCTAAATACAATTCTATCTGGAGCGCACTTCAGCTATGCATTCACCACTGCAAAAATTTCAAAGGAAATCGACAAGCCCAGCGTGCATGGAGGCTATTTCTATTTTAATCTTCCGTCGCATTCCTAAGGCGCAATGATACAACTATTTGAACTCTCCGGAATGCGTAAGGTATCACGCCGCATTTGAAGGCGTTTTCAAAACAGCCAAGTTCCGTTACCCGGATTATCGTTTTGCATCATTCATATTCCTTTGTTTTGTTCCGTGCCACTTGTTTATTTTTAATCCGCGTATAAAAACCACCCATCTGCTAAATACAATTCTATCTGGTGCGCTTTTCAGCTTTGCATTCACCACTGCAAAAATGTCAAAGGAAATCGACAAGCCCAGCGTGTATGGAAACCGCGTTTTGAGAAAAACGCATTTAAAGTTTCGTTTTTGATGTACTGCGCAGACTTTTCTATGCAGGTACCCTGTTTTGGTGTTTTTGGGTGACCTAACCCTTCTATCGAAGGATACCGGGTAGATTTTGCGATACATTTTGGGTTTATACTCTCATATATTTAATTTAAAAAAGCGGTTTATAGGCCATTAATACGCCCAACGGTCATTTTGGTGGCAATATGAAGTATAAATCATTTTAATCACTTATGATTAACGCAAAATGAAAGAATATCGATAGTGAGTGAAGGAAGGGGTAACTAGCACCTTATAGGCCCGTTTATAGGTCATTCTTGCACCCATCGATCCAGAGGCCTGACTTAACTCGGAAAAAAAAGGTTTTTCGACCTCGAGCCGTTACCTATCTATATTCTATCGCTACCACAGCATAATCCAGGGAATCCGAAAAGCAGATGGGCGTAATAACGACCTATACGCCTATAGGCTGTTCTTGGTGTGGTGTCCTCAATTGAACATATTTCTGCCAAACGGAACCATGTTCAATAAGACATAAGCCTTGAGACCCATAAGAATACACGCATAACAGGGCTCACGTCAAAATGCACATAGTTCCGTTTGACAGAAATACGTCTACTTGATCTTGTGAATACGGCAGGTGGATTGTTCAATAAATACCAAATGACCTCGATGTATAAAAATAATTAAGAAGATAGGATTTATCGATCGAGGCCTTTTGATGACGATTCAACAATCGGTATTCACAGGGCGTTTGTATTGGATTCTCGCGCTGACTCGGGCGTCAGTGAATTTCAGCAATTTAAGCAATTAACGCCAGCAATCCGAAGCGCTTTCAGAGCGAGTATTTCAGAGTATTTCAGTTGTATAGAGCTGATTCACCCTACAAAGCGAGTTTTACGACTCTGAGACGAGATAACTTTTAATAGTCGTAACTTTTGTCGCTTGTGCAGGTTGATATAGTTCGGTACTGAAGTTATTGCATTCATTTTGGCCTCCGTCCTATCTGCAATAACAGCATTCTTTCACTACATTAATCAATTGAGTACATTTCGATGAACTCACGGAGGAGGAAGATGATTTTTTTCTCCCTTGCAGAAACGTCCATCTTTTATTTACCTTGAGGAGAAATTAAAAGGAAGGAAGGAAAGGAAGTATGAAATAGACATTGATGACTAAAGTAAAAAAAAGTGTGATCTTCAATTGCGAAGTTTGAAAATATCCCATCATGTTTTGATTCTTCAGAGGAAATTAAACCATCTCTTGGAGATTAACAATAAAAAATTTTGTGTGATGGGTGATGAATAATCACGGAAATAGAAGAACTCACGGATGGTTTTCTTGTAAAAAAATATACATGAGTGGAAATTTGCAACGTTGCAATAAAATATTCGCCTTTTTTACTCCGGCCAGCGATGTATCAATTGATTCGATTTTGAGCCGTTTGTTCAAATGGAGTTAAAGTCCTTGAACATTTGAGATCTTGCTCATTCAAGAAAAGTTGGGGCTGAAGTTTTCGAAAATTGCAATGTGTACTTGCTTAATTTGTTATTGAAAAAATGCAGGTTCATAAATCCCTTTCTGATCAAGATTTCCCCCCCAGTATTCTAAGTTGCTCCACGAAACGAACTTAGGTTCTTGGGAAAATCATTTATTATAAGAGCAAAGAACGTTTGGGTAAACGACGTGGCGAGACTGATCCCTAAATTTAAAAATATATACACACATTATTTTCTGCCACATTCACTTCTATTGTAAGGATTAAGTACTGACTTGGTGTTTTTTCTGGTTATTTTTTGACATATTCGTTGATTAAAATTTTAGGAAGTATTTTACGTGTGACTGTCATTATTGGCCTTAGAGAGCTCGGGCCTTTAATCTTCAATTTAAATTATTGATACCACAGCGTGAAGAACGATGAAACATGCGTCCACCCAGACCAAAATAAGGGCAGTGTGACATTCACAGTTTGCACGGCGTTGTTTTGAGGATGAGATTTTTGAAATTTTAATGATTAATGTTCAGGGTACGATATTGTTTGATTATAATGGAGAGTTACTCCCTCGTTCGGCACAAAACTGAACAAAATGAAATGAATACAAATTTCAAAATGAATTGAATTTTTTTAGCCTAGATTACTCAAAAAATATTATTTTTCAAACTACAAAGAGTTTTCAGTCGAAATCTCAAAGTCGAGTTTTTCGACCTCACTCCACAAAATTAGCTCTCATCGAAAATTTTGCCTCCTTAAACTGAGTTCTTTTTCCCCGTATAGACAGTCGAACTTTTACTCATTTTTCTAAAAAAAAAAAATCTTGACTGTTTCAGATACCGTAGAGTCGAAGAAATACTGCAAAACTGCTTTCGATGGCTGGTCATGCTGGAACGTCACATTGGCTGGAGAGACCTCGTTTGTGCCTTGCCCCAGTTTTATAACAGGGTTCGACCCAAAAAGTGAGTCAAAATTTGATTAAAATATTTTGGACTCTTTTTTTGAGCTGTTTCAATGGTAAGTTTTAAAACAAGGCCTTCTCCACACGAGCGCAGTTTGGGCGGATGAGTTCCTGGGACTAGGGGTTCCAGGAACAAGTTATAGGTGAGTTATAACAAGTTCCTAGAACAATTTCGTTTGAAGTTCCTCAAACCGCGCTCGTTTGTTCACAGGCCCAGGAATTTCGGGCAAACTTGTACCCGGAACTTATCATAATTCACTATAACCTATTCCGCGGAATCCTAGGTCGTTGAACTAATTCGCTCTAGAGTTCCACGACCTGCGCTCGATACGACATTGCCTCAATAATCATGGGCCATCATTCATCTGTAAAAATCTCACTAATTCTTGCCAAAATCTCTCTTGTTTTTCAAGTTGAGAGTTTGGAGGTATTACTTTTCAGAACTTCTTGCAAGAGAGTTATTTAGATATTTAGTTAATAAATTGCATACGACAATCAGCAACTATGGCTATTTACGCAGGGGTCCAGAAAAACACATTAAATTTCGAGTTGTAATTGTTAAAAAGTTTTAAGATGTCGGTAGTGACTTTTCGGTCATCAGCTTTTCGAGGGTCGATGTTTGGAGAGGTTTGGAGGGTGGGAGATAATTTTCAAAATTAATGCGTGTAGCCCAGTTTTTGAGTGATATAGTAAAATATGGTCGATTGTGAGAGGAGGATGTTGACATTCGTAGTCTTGCGATTTGAACTTTGAGATGCGTTATACTACTTGTTGGAGGAAGTATTATTATACGGCTTGGGTCTTCTTTTAAGTACAGTGAATTAAAGCTCGCTAAGTCGAATTGTGTGAGGACCGACGAAAAATTCGACTTGAGTGGCGATTCGTCTTAAACGATTCTCGACTTTACGCGTAGTCGTGTCTCAGGACCGAAAGAAATTCGACTTAAGCGGCATTTCGTCTGTACCGTAGCTCGACTTAGCGAGCTTTTACTGTATATTCTTGTCACTGTTCTCCCAGTAATCTTCCAAGGAAGCATACATGTAGGAGTGGACATTTTGCGTATTTCAATGGCATATATTACCTTCACCACAACAATAGAGTATGAAACAAAAGGTACCGTCGTTTAAGAATCGCGAAGCTCGTGTAAATTGGATTCGTATTTCAAAGAAAGAGATTCAGTTTGTCACGAATTTTATCGTTTCTGCGGTTGAAATATTGTATATTCCTCCCCACTCTTCGTAAAGCTGCAATGGAATATGCAATCCGCAACTTCCTCCTACGGTTGTCATATTTATCATTTTTCTCTAGGCAAAAGTCGAGCATAGATACCTACGTGTTACGTATTAAAGTCTACGCTTAGACCCTGTACTATATATAAAAAAGAAAAGAAAAAGAACGGCATCTATTCCTACACGGCTGAATCTAGCTATACTCGATCGGCTTGACCTAAATTTTTCCATGTATATCGATGGCAAAAGTCGGAAAATATGTATTTTTTACGAATGCAACGCTGGAGCTCTAAAGTTGAATTGTTTAAAAAGAAACTAACCTACAGATTTTTTTCCTAACTTTTCTATGAATTTTCTTCACCGGTCTATTTATATTCGAAAAAAATGTTAAAAGTAAATTTTTTTCCTTTTATAGAACACAATTTAAGATTTTTAAAACTGTTAAAAATTGAATTCCAGATCTAGCAGTGTCAATTTGCTTAACCTAGAGTTGAGATTTTGAATCAGATCCGGGAAACGAAACGATCAACTGAGCTTAAAATAGAGCGGCTCTGAGCGAAACACGAAAAAACCCCTTCATTTTAACGTGATGCAAGAAACGACGCCAGGACACAAATAGTTGCCTATAGAGCATGATCATCCACATATCGGTTGTTTTTATGTCTAGGACCAGTACTCTAGACTTTCATTCATCTTCGGTTGATTCATCCATTTGTTTCAGCATCGTTAGAGTGCCCAAAAACTTTGACGCTTGCTTTTAGGGTTATAAAAATCAATTTTATTGTAAAATGCTACCAAAAAATCAATTGTGAATTAAAGGGAGTTCGACGGAAAGAAACTAAGAGGAATGCATGGACTTAGATTAGGAAAAATGGGTTCTAAAGTTCCATTCCTTTGTATAATAAATAAAACATTTCTAATCAATTTCAAGTTCAGCTTCAGCAAAACAAGTATTTTTATGAGGCTTTTTAAATTTTTGAAGGATTAAATAGTCACTTTCCGGCGAAAGTATCACAAGCGCCATGCGAAGTATAAAACATTTCCGCCGTCATTTTATTTTTTTACGGAGAAATTGTTGGTTAATCTGTTTGAAAATTTCACTGAATTTTATCGGCAGTACAAAAAGAAACTATGTGATATTTTCAGACATGCAGCTTCGTTGAACAACCTCTCTATAAGAAAAATAAAATGGCGGCGGAAATTTTTAAACGTCGCATGGCCATTGTGATACCTTCGCCGACGTGTATGGTTCTAGACGAGCCTAAAACTAACGATAACTCAAGTTTTGTAAAAATTTTACGTGGTCCACTTTCATTAAACGTTATCCTAATATGTCAGTGTGAGTGATGAGTTATCTGATTCCTTTTACTCTTTACATTTTCAAACGAACAACAACCCTCCCACCACACTCTCTAAATTTAAGAACCGCGGGGCATCATCTGCAATACGGCATCGTTGTTTGAAACAGAGGAACTGTCTAGAGAAGATACGAAGTCGAAGTGATCTTTACGGTCCAACTGAAGCTCTCTAGCTGAACTTAGCGCTGCACCGGGAAGATATTCTGCCGCACAGTGGGCTGCATCATAGATTATAATATTCAGACACGGCATAACATCCAACCAGAAGAGACTTCTGCATTAATTATTACTGTGGTCGGAAGATTTTAGAATGAATTAATCAAACATTAGGAGTGATATATTCTTCTCTCAAGAATGTCATGAGACTTAACAGGCATTCTGATTATTTTCTGGATCCCATGTAGCAAGAATAAACCAGCGCGATTACAGTGTTATAAAAATGTTGCTTCTTCATAAGTATCTAAAACATCTCTCAGAATAGCAGATATGTTTTGCTTCCCATCGGAAAATGGTTAATTTTAAAGGAAAATAATTCTGTGGATTTTAATTCTGTACATATATTGAGTATTATTAAAAGAAAAGAAGAAGTTGCGCGATTTTGAAAACACTGTAATCGCGCTGGTTCCTTTTTGCTAAATGCGATCCTTCTATTATGGCGTATCATACGGATTGCATTTTGCAAAAAGGAACCGAGAGCATTCCAATGTCGCAACTTGTTTGCCTTGCAAATGTAAACTGATCATCTAAACAAATTTTATCTTAACTCCCAACAAACTACAAATTCAAGACGAACATTACTTGTTTAAATTCAATGTTTTGCATGATTTTAGATATGGTATATATTACAAATAATGTGAGTTGCACAATCCTGGCAACATCAGAATGCTCTTGGTTCCTTTTTGCAAAATTCATTCTATATAATGTGAGATAAACAAAAAGAACAATCCGAGCTCTTGCTTAAAATTCGTCCTAATTTGAATACGAGTCTTACCACTGAGATTCGGCTTGATGTGGCCGTCTTTCCGAACTCACTTTTAGTGGGATTTGCACACAGCCGCTGCAGCCTACTTGTTTTTGTTGCCTCGCCTTCTCACCCTCTCCGTGCCAGTTTATTTCATGCCTTTGTTCATAGATAAGCGGATTTAGACTCCGTGATTGGGCCACATTATTGACAATGGTTTGAAATTTTGCAGACTCTCGGTGCGCTGAGAAGGTTCTTTGAAAGAATGGTATCAAAAAGTGCTTCAAACCCGTAATCTTAAAGAAAGGTTACAACGTATTTTCTTTTTATCACGGTGATACGCAAACTTGCTCATTTATTTCCCGAAATGAGGACTTATATGTAACAATGGCGAATGTGAAAAATTACCTTTTTGAAACAATCTCAAAAAACTGTTTCGGCATCGAGAAAATCTTGAGAAAATATTTGTGATGTGATTTTCGAGATCTGTACATTACGCCAGAGGCAAACATATTCAATTTTTGTGTGACCAAAACAGTTTTTTAAGCGTGTTTCGAAAAGGTAATTTTTTACATCCGCTATTGTTACAGATAAGGCCTCAAATATTGAAACTTCTCAATATTGTGCATTTTTTTGAAAGATTTCGGAATCAGAACTCTCGGTTGAGGGTGAGCGCTGCTCTGGTAATTCTGAAATTTTACTTGATTTGCTATCGAATTTCCCAATAAAGCTCTTGTTTTCGTTTTTAGACATTTTTGTTACTAAGTCTATAAAAATTGTCTGGAATCACTCACAATGAAAGTCATGTCGTGTTTTATGTGTACGTATTTCTACCAAACGGAACTATGTGCGCAATATGACGTGAGCCCTGTTATGCATATATTCTTATGGGTCTCGCGGGGCTCATGTCTTATGTACATAGTTCCGCTTGGCAGGAATACGTACATATATAGATACGTTGAATGTGCAGCTTTAGGGGAGAGAAATTTGACCTTCACGCAGAAAGTATCTACGTGTCTATTTTTTTCATTTTTAGAGAAGCAAATTGCCATTTCAAACCAGTTCTTGCACTGAATAAACTTTTTTTGCGGTTGCCATGCTTCTTTTCTATGTCCTCATTGAAAATGGGATTTCCTTGACGTGTCTCAATATTTTATTGTTTTTAGGAAGAGCTTTCCGGCAGTGTTTGGAAAATGGATCCTGGTATAAACACCCAGAGACTGGTCAGAGTTGGTCTAACTACACAACCTGTATAGATGTCGAGGATCTTAAGGTATATATTCTTTTTGATTCAAAAATAACATTCTCGCATAGTCAAAAGTAATACTCATAAAAGGTTTGAAGTTTCCCTCGTTTCTCACTTTCTCTCTTATTATGAGGAAATTAAATTAAAGACTCGCGGTATAAAACCACAACAAGATGCACCGATACGGAGCGTTGTTGATAGATGTATCAAGTTGATAAGTTTTATCCTACGCCTAGTACGAGGTATGGAAGATGCATAGCTAAGGATCTACAATGGTTCCAAAAGAACTTGAGAAAATCTTCTTTTTTTAGAGTCGTTTGAAAACCTCGATAGTAACCTTTCCTCCTCCGGTTTCCATAAAACTTGCCAGACCGGCGATTTAACCTAAATTTTCCTGTCTTTAAGTTCATTCAAAGTTCGTTCTTCTCAATAAAGAAAAGTAAACGGTGTGGAAATAGCAAAAGCTAAAATATCAATCAATGGTTTGTGACAGAAGAAGGTAGAAATGCTCGGCATGAATTTATTTCACTACATACATAAATATGCGTAAAATATGTTTTCCTCGTAGTGAATTCGATTTTATAGCTGTTACTTGGAATAGGTGCGCCCGAACCGGAGCCGTAACCGAACCAATTTCAGCCTCGGAACCCTCTGAGGAAGCGGGTTCCTGCTTCTAATTTCGGTTCTCATTTCTAGCTACAACCTCATACGGGCGTATTTCAATCAAAAGGAATGATTGCCGCTGAGACAGCAGCTCCTAGACCCGTGAGAATACATGCATGATAACCCTATAACCCAATGGAGATGTTGCATGTGTGAGGAATTTGCGATTTTACCATTGATTTTTATGTAAAAGCTCGCGAAAAACACGATGGTGCCACTGGTTTTCTCTGAAATCAACTCCCAAGCTCAAAAAAAGCTCTCAAGTTGAGGCCAAAATGGAGGGGATGTCCCACCCTACCTTGAGAGTTCACCTCTACATCAAAACAAACTCTCCATGCAAAGATAGGGAGCAAATACATTAGCAGTGATGCCGTGTTTTCAGTTCTGGAGCCCTCGATTAAAGTGGCAGCCCTGTCAATGTATTTGCTCCCTATCATTGTATGAAGAGTTTGTCTTGATGTAGACGTGGACTCTCAGGATAGCTTGGGATATCCCCTCCACTTTGGCCTCAACTTGAGAGCTTCATCTGAGCTTGGGAGTTGATTTCAGAGAAAACCAGTGGCACCATCGTGTTTCTCGCAAACTTTTACATAAGAATCAACAGTCAAATCGCAAATTCTTCGCACACATACAACATGTCTATTGGAGATAGTTTCTTTTGATTGAAATACGTAAATTCGTAAAATAACTATCATACTTTGCTTTGCTGCTTGAGCATCAACATTTTGGATTTAAAAGAACGCCATCCGTCTTGGTAGTGTCATATGTTTCGCTGGAAATCACCAAAAACTGATGGAGATGAAGAATAATTGAACCGATTTTTTCCCAAATCGAGCCATTGAAAAAAAGATAGGTAGAATTTACCATTCATTCAAGCTGCATTTCACACAGCGTGAAGGAATGGTAAATTCTATCAATCTTCAAGTCGATTCTGCCGCAGAGGAATGGTTACCTGTACCAGTATATTGTAACTTTTACCTTTCTTCTGACAGAATTGACTCTGAATTAACGCTGTGTGAAATACAGCGTGATGGAATGGTAAATTCTACCAATCTTTTTTTTCAGTGCGTAAGCGCCAAAAATGCGAATGTGAGGGAAACACGAATACTCGTTTTATTCGCTTTGTTGACAATCTTCGAATTCCAAAAAATGTATATTCCTTTAGAGGCTCCATTTAAAAGAGGATTTAAAAGGCAGACATGATTGATTATACCAGAGAAACCCAAATAGACTCAATCAGAGTCGGACTGGCCATAAGGCCAATCTGCCATTGGCAGATACGCCCCCCTGACGCATCGAAGATGCGCCCCTCTGCCACATATAGCAAAATAAGATGGGAGAAAAAAATATGACCGAAAAAAAATACGGAAAATTCATAAATGAACGGGAGAGGAGATAGTAAGAGTAAAGAAAGGTCCTCGTACGAATGATAGTGGTGAATAGAGGTCCTGGAACTATAAACCTCGAGTTTATAGTCGAGAAATAAGTCCCCATAGCGTCCCCTGGGCCTGCAAAAATGCTGCTTAAAGTGATGTTTCGGTTTTTTTTTTATGTGCTGAATTCAGATTTTGTATCCGTAGTTCAATATTTTGAAGAGGAGAATGTGAAAAATTGGGACATAGTGGTTTAATCAAGTTGTAATGAATGACAATTATCTCACTCACTAGCAGACATTCGATTAAATAAAGTGTGCAAACTTCCGCTACTACGCTTTACGCTTTTAGATTTCGCTCTTGCGCGAAAAATTGGTCACTTTCCGTCGTAAAATCAGCTTTGAGGCATTGAACATTTTTCTCGATCATAGTTTTCGAAAAGGAGATGATGAGTGTCATTAAGTGAGGAAATCAAAATAGCTCTCGAGTTTTTGTCCAGTGACAAAATACCTATGCATAAAGTTTTTAAGATTGGTAAAAAATTATTTCCTTCGAAATTTTCACCTTTGTGGTAACATATAGACGCTTCATCATGTTCCTCATCCGCCATGTGTCACTCTCTCAGAGGAGGTACTCCAATTAATTTGTAGACGTGCGCCCATTTGATCGCTTGAGAGATCTCTCACATTTTCTTTCATTTCAAAGTGATTATTGATTAGGGCACATCCTATTTTCGGCTGTGTTGCTCAAGTAGCCGTTGAGGCACCCTTACAAATGAGACAAACGAAACTAACACAATATGGAAGCAGAGCAAAGGGAAAGACGGCGCAGAGATACAACTATTCGTGCTTGATGGATGTCTGTGTTGCATCTGCAAAATTGAAGGCGCGATGGCGCCGTGCAGCTGTGAATTCGCGATGTTTCGCAGCTCCACTTTATGCTGCCAGTGCGGTGTCGTGAGAAAAGTTAAGAAACGAGGCTCGATTATTACGGCTCTCCTATTTACGGCTGTGTTGCTCATACAGTCTTTAAAGCACCGCTAAAAATACAAATAAGACGAACCGAAACAAATACAGTATGGAAATAGAGCAAAGTAAAAGGAGGCGCGTTAATGACTACGCAGAGATACAACTATTCGTACATAATGGATGTCCGTGTTGCATCTGCAAAATTGAAGGCGCGTTGGCGCTATACGTGAACTCGCAATGTTCCTTTCCAGGCTGCCAGTGAGGTGTCACTCAGATTCGATAGAAAAATTTAAGATGCCTGATTACGTCTTGACACTGTTGTTCCTCAATTTGTTCTCCTTTTTTCCGGCTAAGGCTCTACGCCCTGAGATGTGAGCCAGTCCGACCCTGGACCCAATCCCCCCTACCACCAAAATAGAGATTGGCGCTGACGTGATTTGGAAAATAATCGGTTCATTTCCTATTATAGTGCGTCGTTGGCAACGCTGCACAGAGTTTCAGCTAGACAGGTTCCCCTAAAAACGGGGTCTATCCGAGTATGATAAACTGCGCAAACTTTATTGGAGATCCTAACAACAAATTATTCACTTTAAAGCGCCCGCCAGACCGTAAAATTAAGCGGCCTTTTTAGTCAAAGCGGCCACTTTCCGACTCTTTCAAACTTTCACATCAGGCTCAATTACTCGGAGACAAAAGCGGAAATTCAATTTGAGCTTTGTTTTTTGACTCCCTACTTGCCCTACTCTTTCCTACGACTCGAGAACAAACAATACTTTACAAGATATCCTTCGAGTAACGGAGGATTATTTGGGTAATTTCAGAAAATTTGGCGAAGGGACTCCGGGATCAGCTTAACGCCCCGAGGAAAGCTGTAGGTTTTATTCAAAGGAGAGAAAGTCGCCCGTATGAGAATTAGAAGAAGTCCAGTTTTGCGGATTAAGTGAGTGAACAAGTGAATTTTGATGTAAATACTTAACCTGCAGCAACCATAAATTTTTGAATATTGGGTGGCTATTCAATCGCAATTTGTCGTTACAATATTCCTATCATCATAGCTACATTTTTTACTATTTCATTTCCAATTTTTTTCTGATAAAAATCTATTTTTAATCGTAAATTTTTGATATCAAATTTCTACTTTTGGAAACTCTTCTACATGGAATAGTCGTTGAAGGCATTATGTTAAAAATCTGAGTAAATGTATACAGCATCTTTAATGTCTCGGTAGGTTTTGACACCTCTAAAATACTCTCTCAACATGAAATCTCATGTCTAGAAAGTGGATTTCAGCTTCTTTTATCGCAGATCAGTCAGCGTCAACGGTACCTATTTTTGAGGCGGGGGAGAGGAATTACTGTCAGAGGCCTTTGTGATACGGCATTCGGTTTTAATTCACCTTTCAACTTTGCAGATGGTGTTGATTGATACTGATTGCACAGAGTGTGCTGACACGTAAACTTCAACCCGCCTAAAAACTTCCCGTCGAACGTATTCGTGTTCCGCGCTAAAATATATGACCTGCCGCTTGAATAAAAAACTCATTTTTCTGGCTATAAAAAACAAGAGAGCTTTTTGGCGTGTCAGCTGGTTTCATAGAAAACCCTAACCTCGGCCCTTTTGGGGTGTTCTCGAATATTGCCGCACAAGTTGTCAAAACAGCTGTCTTTTATCCGGTCAAAAATCGTGTTTTAACTATCAATAACAGGATTTCATAACCAAGATTTTCAGTCAAGCAACAAAGATTACCTTTACCAGATTAGCCTCAGCCAACCCTATATGCAAATTTTAATTCCACCCTGTTTTCTAAACTTAAACCAACCGGATGAAATTAATATGGGTTAGATGAGCGGAATTTTCCGTTTGATCGAAGGAATTTCAGTCCCAGAGCGGCATTCATGGGCTTTTCACTGTGGCATGGGCTCAGCGATATGTATTTTTTGCAACAATCTGTAAGTTACCTTGATATTTTCAACCGTGAGCCAGTTTTCGAAAAAACGAGTTTTCCTCCAGAAAAGTCAATCTTTCGGATCCAAATGATCCAAAATTTGACCCAATAGAGGAAAATTGAAGTCATTTTCGGAGCCAACTCAAAAGCATCTCGTGACTCGGTGGGAAAAAATAAGCAGACACACAATTGGACTGCATTTTGCAATTTGGAACTATAAATTCCGGCCCGGTTTAAAAATAACGTATGTGCCATTAGTTTCCCTATGCACTTAAGTGTTTTTTCTGATGAGCCAGAATTTATAGTTCCAAATTGCAAAATGTAGTCCAATTGTCAACCTCTGTCACGCAGACTGCACTATGGCAACCAAGATAAATTGCAAACCTGTCTAAAAGTTTAACTTGCATCGCACCAAGTTTTTACCATCCTCGGGAATCATCTCAAAAACAGGGGAGAAGCTCCAAAGCCTTCATCGATCTCGAAAAATAGAGTCTCAGAGAGGCCTCGAGGTTGAGGTTTGAGGATTATAATGAGTTATCGAAAGTTCCAACTCTAGCTGAAAAAGCAGAGAGCAAATTATTTACCGAGGGAAAATATTTATGGAATAAGTGGTCGTAATTCAATCTCACTCTCATAATGGCTCGAATTTACATCTCCGGGCGCGAGCGTGTCACTTTGAAGATTATCCGCGGCACCAGCGAAAGCAAGGGTTGGTTCAAGTTTGCCGGAGAGGCGACGCCGCAGCCGCCAGCGGTGGAGAAAATAGTGAGGCACTGAAGTCGAGCGTGAAGTGGCTCTTTTTACGAAAATACCGCGGCATTAGCTCATATCAAGCGACGCGCCAGGAATTGACGTTTAATAAGAAGCAAGGCGCTGGATTGAACAGATCCGTCGCGAGTACATGGTTGTCAAGCCTGCTGCAGGTTTAAGCCATGGCAAGCGGGTAACTTCAACACGTTTAAGATTATTCGAGTACCTATACTGCTATGCCTCAACGTGGCAGTATAGGTACTCGAATAATCTTAAAAGACGTTCTCTCTTAAAAGAACGTCGTATGAACATTCAAGAGTTGCCCAATTACTTCTCAGAAAATAATTATTTTTGAAGAAAGTTATGAATATTTTTCCATGAAATTTTCAGACTTTCCACATCAAATTTTGAGTAAAATTTTCTGAAAAAATGGATGAGAGATATTCATACACGGAGAAAAAAACCTCGTGCGTGGGACCCGAAGTTTAGGTCATATGAATCTCTGAAGTTTTCGGATTGAGCATCTGAACTCTTTAGGTCTAGCTGTCGAGGTTCGGATCACACATCTGAAACTTCAGTTCTTACATCTGAAGTGCTTCAGATGTGAGAACCGAAGTTTTTCAGATGTGAAAACCGAAGTACTTCAGATGTAAGAACTGAAGTTTCAGATGTGTGATCCAAACCTCAGCAGCTGGACCTAAAGTGTTCAGATGCTCAATCCGAAAACTTCAGAGATCCAAATGACCTAAACTTCGGGTCCCACGCACGAAGTTTTTTTCTCCGTGAAGAGTTGACCGATTGCTTTTCAGAAAATAAATATTTTTGAAGAAAGTTGTGAATATTTTTCCATGAAATGCTCAGACTTTTCACATCAAATTTCGAGCAAAATTTTCTGAAAAATCGGATGAGAGATATTCAGAATTTAAAATTCGTGATTTGTCGAAAGAATTTTGGCAACGCCTAATGGCTCATACGGCATTTTTCCTTAGCAGCGATATGTAAAAGACACTTATACCACCCCTGTGCCCCTTCTCCTACAATGCAGGTGCTGGGTGCAGAAAGGGTACTTCTTGGTTGCGATGTCTCAATATCGTCACCGCTAATTTGTATTTTAGAGAGGCAGCTATTCAGTGAGTATTCTGAAATGTTTCGTTTTCACCATTGTGAAATCATGAAGAAAATTCAGAAAAGGAATTTTTCGTTTTCAGCATTGTAAAATCATGAGGAAAGTTCAGCAAAAGTTTCAACGAATTCAATTCATTTGCTAGAATTATAGTGGATGAAACGTTGGCGGAGATTCTGAGGCACTGCAAGCAAGAATTGCCCTTCCTGCACTCAGCGCTTAAATTGATATCGAAATTTGAAACTTTGGGTATGTTCTTGGGTCTGAAGTAGCAACATTTTGGTTCCTCCTAAATTTCGAGGGGCGGCCCCTTTTAAGGAGGGTGGAGGACAATTTTCGTTTTTCAAATTATAGCAACCTATCCCCCTTCGTAACATCTCATTCGAAAGACAATAAAAAAAGAACAATTATTGCGTAAACCGCAGGTCAAACTGTTGGTTTTTCACAAAATGACGGCCGGTTAAAGTTCAAAATACTGGGAATTTGGCATCTCCGTTTTTTCTTGACAAATTGGGATACAACTCTGTATTCAGAAGTTTTTTGGGACAAGAAGAACGATTCTGACAATAGTTTTCCGGGCATTTCAGTACTTTTCAAAATGGCGGCGGTCAAAATGGTGACCTAGGGCGGGAAGTGGATTTTAAATGTGCCGTTATTCATTGCCATGTACAACATTAAGAAATAGTGCATACGAGGAATAACACATTTTGTCTTTATATTTTTTCCAGTTCCGTGACGTAGTCAACACCCTATACATGTCCGGTTATTTCTTATCATTGACTGCCTTACTCATTTCACTTGTCATCTTCCTTACGTTCAAGTAAGTATCAAGCTCAAATTTCAAAAATGTGTAGTTACTCTATGGAAAAGTTGGTCAAATCTGTCATTAATAACAAAAGTGCTCTACTGTTTAGTAAATAACATAAAAAAAACTTCTCCCCCTTCGATAGTTGCTGCTCGTAAACTTCCCGAGAAAATTATAGCATTCTGAAAAAGTTAATATACATCGGAGCAAAGAAAAATTAACGTGCTGACCAATTTGAACATATTAGACTTCAGCTTTTGGAAAGCGGGAAGATCAAAAAGCCCAGAAAACGTGGATACATTACGAATAAGTTTTTGAAAATGTTTCATGTGACCATCATATTCTGGATGCGATTATGAGAATACATCGATGGCTATAAACTCGGAAAATTTAATCTCCATCCGGTTTTTGGCAAGTCTTCGCACTGTTAATATTTTTTCGAGGGCAAACAAACCAACTTGCATTCTCGACATTTTCAAGAAATTTCACTCACACGTCTCATAGTAAAAAAGATAAGATACAATGGAAAGTCTGCAACGTCGCGTGTCCAACTGAAATGCGTGTTTCCCTAGTGCAGCCATCGACCTATCCCAAGTAGCAGTGATCGCGATGAATAGCGATTTTATCGATTATAGGACATTTTGTCAACGATTTTTCGTCCGCGCACCTGTTTTTCCCAATAGTTTACGTCCACGCGTTTTTTCGGAATGGGAGTTTCCGTCCACTTACCACTTGAGACCCAAAGTTAATTGGTCCACATGTACCATGGTCCACATACGACAATTGCTAACGACGTTTTTGCATGAAAATGTTTAACGTCTTGGAAGAATGAAGAGTTGATTTTTTTTGTTTGTTCGCTCCAACGGAGACAAATATAGAATTGAGATTCTTGGTAAAAATGAGGAGCATGAGAGAAAATTCACTAAAACTCTCTACACCTTTTTGGTGCAACAGGACTTAATTATCTTTTATGAAAATCCCATCTTGTTATACCTGAACTGGAAAACCTTTTGATTTGCCTCCGCTAAAGGCTCTTATATTTTTCCTATGTATGATAACTTCGCGACCGCACCGGCGTGCCGCCGCGTTTTGAGCTACTATTTCGCCACGGAGGTGTTGCACAGTATCATATGAAATTGAAGGCACCCCAACGTATCATGATTGATAGCATCTTGCAAAAGCACGAGGTTCCCTCGCAAATTAAATCGAGTGACGGCAACAAAAAGAGAGCGGTAGTCGAAACACGTCCTTTCCTAGTATCTGTATCTAATAACGTTTGGTATGATTTTTTAACTCCGTTAGAGGAAAAAGTGACCTGATTCAAAGAGAAATATCCTCAAATTTACAGCCGAAAAGATCTCCTTATGAGTCAATAAAGAAAATAATGCTTTTTAAACGAAGAAAAGATGATTTTATAAGAAGGAAAGTCACTTACATTTAGCAAAAGCCCGATTTTGTTCACCTATTGTATTCCTGATTCAAAACCTGATCAAAAATCTTCTTGATGGCACACTCAAGAATGTTTTTTTATCTCTTTTATCTCGAATTATTTTGCGAGGTACGTTCCTTACTCTTACTGGATGCATGTTATTCTTAATATGTTGGGGCTTCTTCAATTTCATATGATACTGTACAACACCTCTATTGTGAAATAGTGAAGCGCCGTGGGTGACACGCTACGGCGAGGCGGTCGGCCGGCCAGCACGCAACGCGCATTGGCGCCTACAAGCCCAAGGGGATACTCTACGCATTGCGCAATGCGTGAAGTATCCCCTTAGGTTTGTAGGCGCCAATGCGCGTTTCGTGCTGGCACACGTCGCGTCGCGTCACTCCGCTTTATGTTAGGCCCTATTATTTAAACTTGTGGGGTCAGCGTCTTTCAACTCGTGATTTTTCTATGGATTACTCTCATTTAAACGATGAAAAAAATATATGCATAAAAGGAAGATGTATTGTATGTTTTGTAAATATTAAGACAATTCCTTGTAAAAGTTAATGATTTCCAAAGCTTATGAATAGCTTATTCCAAAGCTTTTATATTTTGTGCTTTTCCTGTGCTACATTGTGGTACACGCCCAACCAAACGCTTAAAATAGGATGTATTTGACTCTAAAAGATACAACGTGCACATGGGCTAAAGCCGAAAATTGTGTGCTTCTTGGTTTATTTCCCCTGTTATTCATTTTTTATAGTTTCTCCAACACAACCATTGACTTTAATATCGATACCATTGCTCGGAAAAGGTTTTATAAATATTTGCCACGATTTACAATTGTAAATGTTTTTAAAATAAAGTAATATTTTCATTTAAAAAAGTTTATATAAGATTAATTTTACATAGGAACTTTTAAGGATAGAAATAAAACCAAGTGTCCATCCATGCCCATTTAAAATGATAAATCAGAAGAAGGGAGTAACATTTCATTTAAAAAGCGAGTTACCGCAACAAGTCCTCCTTCTCTCTCACTTTTCTCATTTCAATATTTTCAATATAATTTTATATACGGACTAAAATATAACACTTGGACCAAGTCACTGTTGCTTATTTTACGCATGGACGCAAACTATTGGATAAAACAGGTGTGCGGACAAAAAATCGTTGACGAAATGTCCTGAAACCATTTTATCGGTTGGTTATCGAGATTATACCGGTGGCAATATATCGAGATTTTATCGCATTCAAAATTGTGATATATGGCGATTACATCGCTACACATCGCAAGTTTTGGTTCAATACACACTTGATCAATTTTCGTCGATAAAATCGAGATTAAATCGTCATTCATCGCGCTTTTTATTTCGAAAATATCGCGATAAATTGTTCGGCGATAAGAGCGTGATTTTATCGGAATAAGATCGAGGATAATCGCTCAGATGTTGATGATCCTGGCGATTTTATCGCCGACAAAATCGCAATATACAGCGATTTTTCCGTTGAGAAATGCTGCTTGGGATATTTTGATGCTAGATTTTTAAGTCCACGGAAACCCATCGATGAATTCCATGGAATTAAACGTTTAAAGTAGGTGCTTTATTACGTTGCCTCCCGTGGATTATGATCCGAAACTTTTTTGTGCTAACAAGACTTATATTTCAGCCTTAATACACCCCGAGTAACTGCTCCTTGGAATTAGTTCAAATCGTTGCGTTTCGTGCCAGAAACCGCGAAGCATTTTCCACCGAAGTGAACCTTTTTTAATTATAGTGAGAAAAGAGGTGAGCTTGCGGATAGACAATGGAGCTAGAAAAAAATGAGTTCAGGAAGACACCCGCAGGAGAAGCAGAGAGTAGCGATTTCGGACTGGTCTAGTACAAAAGCTGCACCGAGGTGTCTGTTTGAACTGGAAAATGCTTTGAATGCTAATTGCTCGACATTTCAAACTCAACGAACTGAAAAAATTGAAAAGAAAAGCGCGGCCAAGGAAAAAAGAAGGAGCGACGATTCCGTTTGAAGTTAGGGTGAACCCCTCGTTGTTATAGCTGAGATTCAGCATCGATGATACAGTCCTGTTCTCTAGAGCATGATGTCTTTACAACAAATCATTGAGTTTGAATGTAATAGCGGAAAGATTTAATTCGAAACGTAATTAATTTGTAGTGCTTAACTTTTCAATGCTTTCAATGCGCCAAGTAAATTATTTTGATCAAGACTTGGGAGTATAATTTGCATTTTACATTAGGGTGATTTGTCAAGGTTTCTGACGTGGTCCAACTGGCATGCGATACATTGCATCGAGTATGTTAAACATTTTGACGGATTTTGAATTTTTAGCCCAAAAAAAGGACGTCGCCCCCGCGCATGATCCTATAAGGATCATTCTAAACCAAAAAATTGGCAAAATTCAGAGAAATGAAAGCAGAACCCTTTTTGGAAAACGACCTCACACTCGATAAATTTATCGATTTTTGTATCGAATGCGAGGTTTTTTCCAAAAAAGATTGTGCTATTATGCTTTTGAATTTTGCCGAATTTTTGGTTTAGAGTGATCTCTAGGTTCATGCGTAGGGGCTGGGTCCTATTTTTGGGCCAAAAATTCCAAATCTGCCAAGATTTCTGATATGATCGATGCGATTAATCGCAAGCTAGTTCGACCACGCCAAAAACCGTGACGAATTCACTTTAATCTTATACTCTCAAGTGAACGTAGTTTTGAATGGACTAAAAACAACATTGACCGAATGAAGCAAAAAAGTAGAGAGAGTTAGACCGAAGATTTTTAAACAGGGTAAGTAGGAGCCCGGTACCCAGATTTTGAACTAGTCAACAATGACGTATAAAAACTGGACGGATTTAACCAAAATTAGTCCAACTACATCAGTAGTTATTAACTTTTCATTAATGTTCTATTTTTTAGAAGAAAACTAAACCACGCTGCACCACTCTTGAAATTTTATGAGTATATACCTCACAATCTCGAGGAAATTTACAAAAACTTCAGAGGTGTTATACGCATGGTTTGAGCTCTGTTGAAAAAATAACAAATGATAGAAAATTAAACAAAAGTTAAATATAGTCAGGCCAATTTAAGAGTCCCGTTTGCAAATTCCCCGAAATTTTGAAAATGTGATTCACTTGTTCGTCCATTTAGTTGTTCCACAATGTTTCCTTTTCCAATAAAAATGTTTATTGAAAAGATCTGTCGGTAACATTTTCTGACTTCATTTCATGGCGGCGTTGGGTGTCGACTGATGTTTTAATACAATCCGCGTTGGAGAACAAATGGAAAAAGCCACTCGGTCTAACTTATTTATCTTCATGACTCAAACGGAGCGCTTCCTCTCAAACTTCTATACATTAATAAAATCTTTGATAAAACTTAAGTTCCTGAAATTTAATCTAGAGAGCTAGTTGACGAAAACGCATACCAATGAAGTCGAATTAGTATTTCATGAATTCAATTCTCCCTAAAACTTGTTGATTAACATGAATAATTGTCAGTTATTCTCGGCCAGCAGAATCTTCTTCGAGCATACACAAACTAAATGATTAACTAAGCTCTCTCCGCATTGCCGTTTAAAAACAGATTAGGAAATTGTTCAATTTTTCTTCTTTCATGCTGTGGTTGGTTTCGAAAAACTACCGGAATCGTTGCATGCCGCGGATTTTTTCTATTTAACCATCGATACGTGTGTAAAATTTTTACATAATAATGTGTCATGGGTTTCCTTTTCTTTCGGGAAATCAAACATGAGAAATGATTTTCGGGATGATCTGTTCATTCATTCAGGTTCAGTTTTCTTTCGTTGCTTTCTGGGAAAACCTGATTTCCATGGCGATGAAGAAATAACAGTTCCTGCGGAGGCGGTAAATTTGAAAACTCTGGGTTTCAGACATTTCTAGTTTAAATTACGTGACTTTTGTGCAGTTTTCCCTGTTTTAAAAGTCTACTCATTTGGGCATATTCCTTGCTCGCGACGGATCCATTTTACATAAAAGAAAAATAAACAAATGACGTGAGATAAATAAGGCAGAGAAACAGTGAGGAATGACGAAACTTTGCTGCACTTTCAAACTGAAATAGATTTAGTGCAGGGTGGCATGAAACGTGAGAAAGAAATAAAAGATTGGAAATTTCAGTGAAATATTTCATGAAATTTCACGAGGCTATGAAATGTTTCATATTTTTCAGGGGCTAGAGTATGCAACCCGTACTAAAACACACAAAAATAGAAGAAAGTCATAATTTTCACATCTTGCAAACTATGAAAAGGAACCGATATTTTTCAATATCTCTCATAAATGTCTAAAATTTCATGAAATATTTCACGTGAAATTTCAAGATTATATTTTTCATGAAATTTTGCCACCCTGATTTGGTGGAAAATTCTACTATAGAGTGTATTAGTTACCATACTCGTGTCACTGTGTCAGAGTATGGTAAAATCTACCATATTTTTTTTTTCAGTGTAACAACTTTAGCATCTGATTAGGGCATTGTTTCTTTTTTTCTGTCGGAAGTACATCGTAAATGAAAAGAATCTACTTCAAGCGTTGCATCAATGGGATCCATAATCCTCTGATGATTATTTTCAAACTAAGAATCAAGCGTTTCAAGGGAGCTGGGGGCTGCCAGCATCTTGAGCCGTATCATCTTAAGCCTCGGGAATAACCTCGGAGAGTAAGCTGTCTCACAGGATATGAGCAGATCGGAACATCCCACGCAAGTTCACGTAGGATTTGATAGAACGCTGCACCTTAAAATTGAAAATGTAATGCCACGACAGCGTAAAATTGCAGTCAATGGAGATGTTGCATGTGTGAGGAATTTGCCATTTGACTATTGATTCTTATATAAAAGTTCGCGAGAAACACGATGGTACCATTGGTTTTCTCTGAAATCCACTCTCAAGCTTAGAAAAGCTCTCAAGTTGAGGCCGAAATGGAGGGGATATCCCACGTTATCCTGAGAGTCCACCTCTATATCAAGATGAACTCTATGTGCGAAGATAGGGAGAAAATACATTAGCAGGGTTGCCGTGTTTTCAGTTTTGGAGTCCCTAATTAAAACGGCAGCCCTGTCAATGCATTTGCTCCCTATCTTTGCATGGAGAGTTTGTCTTGATGTAGACGTGGACTCTCAGGATAGCGTGGGATAATTGGGATATCCCCTCTATTTCGGCCTCAACTTGAGAGCTTTTTTGAGCTTGGGAGTTGACTTCAGAGAAAACAAGTGGCACCATCGTGTTTCTCGCGAACTTTCACATAAGAATTCATAGTCAAATCGCAAATTCCTCACGCATGCAGCGTCTCCATTCTGAATAAATCTATGATAATTCTCCTTTATTTTATGTGTAGTGCCAAATAGGATCTGCTAGAGAAAGCTTTGAGAGGGGAGTCAGAATTTTCACAACTTGCATCATCATGTTCACGCGTACGCAGCGTTTTTCTTCAACCACTTTAAATTTTTTGATCATTAGCAGGAGCTCAGAAGTTAGCTCCGCAGAGCACCAATGTTCGCAACGGGAGGAAAATACTCTCGCTCACAAAACTTTGACTTTTCAGGCGTGTTAGCGGCAGAAAACTTTTCTGCTTCACAAAATTAAAGATCAAAATCTACCGCGGGTAATTTGAGAGCCTGTATGGAGAAAAAAAACTCTTTGCAATGTTTGCAGATGGAACCTTGCCGAGCTAGGCAAATTGCAAAAATTAAAATCGTTTAAGATTCTACTGCGTTCATTACAGTCTTTGAAGCTTCCCCATTGATTTTTCCAGGAGTTTGCGCTGCACTCGCATTGCAATCCACGTGCATTTGTTCACCTCGTTTGCGCTCAACGATCTAGCTTGGATCATCTGGTACATGTACGTAGTTGGCGACACCAAAGTTTTGATGGATAATCCGGTGAGTCTATAAATTTGGATTAATCCACCAGCTGATGCAATAGTTTTTCATCAGCAAAACTTAGACAAAATAGAGGCAATATCCCCCTGTTTCATGATTTCGCAGTGTCGATTTCTGCATAAACTATTTAATCGCATAAATTCAGTTTGATCAATATTGCCTATCAGCCACAAGACACAAACCGTTCTCTTGTAGGGCATTTGCTTCCTGTTTGTTTTATGAGCGTCCTCGCGGAAATACACATTTGTTCAGAAAAATTCAAAATGAAAATATTGCATTAAATTAACTCCCAAGCTCAAAAAAAGCTCTCAAGTTGAGGCCAAAATGGAGGAGATATCCCACGCTATTCTGAGAGTCCTCTACATCAAAACAAACTCTCCATGCAAAGATAGGGAGCAAATACATTGACAGGGCTGCCATTTTTTTGGGGGACTCTAAAACTGAAAACACGGCATCACTACTAATGTATTTGCTCCCTATCTTTGCATGGAGATTTCGTCTTGGTGGACTCTGAGGATAGCGTGGGACATCCCCTCCATTTTGGCCTCAACTTAAGAGCTTTTTTTGAGCTTGGGAGTTGATTTCAGAGAAAACCAGTGGCACCATCGTGTTTCTCGCGAACTTTCACATAAGAATCAACAGTCAAATCGCAAATTCCTCACACATGCAACATCTCCATTATGGAGGCATTGATTGTAAAGATTGGTTTTCGTCAAACACTTTGAGACACAAAAAAACCCCAAGAATGCCAAACTAAACGACTTAATAATGATGGTTCCAAGTTAGTAGTTCGAACAGCTTCGTTTTGAGGAAAAGCCATTTTAAAATTAAATCTACTATAACCAGGGTATAAAACTACCGAGCTGTGACCAAAAAATTAGAACTTTCGCTCGCACTGATTAGTAACAAAACTGCTTGCAGGGTGTCTTTTAAAGAAGGATAGAGAAATATACCGTTGGAAATATACCGTTGAGAAATATACCGTATTTCAAATCAAATTATTGGAGCTAATTCAATTCACTAGCCTGAAAGGTCCTTTTTTTATGCAAATTGAAATTTTTTCAAAAACCGACTTTAAACTACTTATTTTAAGTGATGACTTCTTTTAATTTCCGTACCCGTTTCAGTCACCTGAAGATGGGCGGCCCGCCCGAAATGGCCATCGTGTAAAAAATAAAAGTAAGTAATTTATAGTCGGTTTTTGAAAAAAAAAATTAATTTGCATAAAAAAAGTGTTCATAGTGTCCATAAATTCTTATAAAAGAAAAACATATGCATTATGTTGCAACATAGTCCTAATTTTTCTAATTTGTTCAATTTTCCACATTTTTACTGCATTTTCCTTAAAATAATTTGTTCAATTTTGGAATCGTTCACAGACCTGGTGTCGCGCTTTGCACATAGCACTACAATATCTGATGTTAGCGAATTACGCCTGGATGTTCTGTGAGGGCCTTCACCTTCATCTAGCATTAGTAGTGGTGTTTGTCAAAGACGACATGGCGATGAGATGGTTCTACAGCATAGGATGGGGACTGCCTTTTATAATAACCGCAGCTTACGCAACGATTCGAGGATCTACGCTTGAGGATACCTTACAGTAAGTTCAGTATTTTTTAATTTGAGCCTAACAGGTACCATGCCGAAAGAAATGCAAGTCAATACCATTAAGTTGTGTATTAATAAAGAATTAACCGTTTAAAGTCCTTAAATCATGCCCGACCTCCCTTTTGACAGGATCTCCTCCATCCATACCCACAGAATCATAAAACACGGAAAAATGTGTTAGCGGTAATCCCCTAAAATTGAGGGGCTACACGGTAAAAATTTGCCGGCGGTATCCGCACATGAGATGGCAGCTGGAGCCAAGATTTTTGGTTCCGGCTACCGAAATTTGGTAGAATTGCCGAAAGTTCTGCATATTCTACCGAAGATTCGGCAATTTTGCCGAATCTTACTGCGGCTAAATTTTTTATCGTGTACCCCATTTTGTTAGATGATATGGGCATTTTCAATACATTATGGTAGCACCGCGACTTAAGTTGCGGTAGTACCGAACATTTGGATTAGTAACCTACACTGGAAAAAAAACACATTGGATCTAGAGTCCAGACTCTTAAAAACATCGACAAGAAAAAATACTCTTGATTCAATCGGATTTTTGCTTAAATCAAGAACCAAGCCTCTTAATTTGAGCGGATTTCCTTTTGATTTAAGCTTAAATCTGATTGAGATATTTTTAGATTGAGATATTTTATATTGAGATCTGAGTATTTTTTCTTGTCAATGTTTTCAAGAGTCTGGTCTCTGGATCCAATGTGTTTTTTTCCGGAGTAACTTATTACTACCACAATTTTAAGGTCCCGAACGAAGTTGGCTCTTAACCCCTATCTCCTTTTTGCGGGAATTCCCATTAAAATTACGAGCTATCAGTAACGTAGGAAGTGATTGCACGAGCAAGGATAGCGTCCCTATTCTGCCGTGCTAAGGAAGAACGCCGTATGAACATTCGGGAGTTGCCAAATTTCCCTTGATAAAACCTGTGATTTTGACAAAATTCATGCATATTTTTCCTTGAAATTTTCAGATATTTTAGATTAAATTGTGTACAAAATTGACTGAAAATTTGAGAAAATGATATTCACAATTTTTCCAGTAATTTCGGTTTTTATCGGAGAAAACTTGGCAACGTCTGAAGGCTCATACGGCGTTTTTCCTTAGTGCGGCAGTATTAGCGGTGGCTTAATATTGGCAGAGGATCGCGGGAGTAAATCAATTAAGCCGGGTTTGTGTTTGGTTTTTAGGTGTTGGATGAACGAGTCGCACGCGACGTGGTTTCTGACGGTGCCGGTGCTGGTCTCGCTGCTGGCGTCGCTCGGGTTCCTCGGCAACGTGCTCTGGGTGCTCCTGACGAAGCTCCACTGGAACTCGGCCAACCCGGCCCCGATCGGCCTCCGCAAGGCCGTCCGCGCCACCCTCATCCTCATCCCCCTCTTCGGCGTCCACCACATCCTCCTCTTCATGCGCCCCAAGGCCACCTCCCCCGCCGAGATCTTCTACGAGCTCTTCTCCGCCGCCATCGTCTCCTTGCAGGTTAGATATCACACAGATCAGCGGGCTGATTATTGAAATTGATCGACAAAGCGATAGACAAAGGAGACAAAAGAGGTATGGAAAGATTCTATTGGTGGAAGCGGGTGGTTGCAATCAGTAACGTGGCGTGCTTTGCGATATATCGATTGATCTGTCATTTAAACCTATGTAAAAGGATCGATTAACAGGGTGTTCGCAGCGAACACCTTAATAATCGATTCTTTACCATAGCTTCAAATGACAGAACAATCGATACATCGCAATTCACGCCACGCTACTGGTTGCAATGGACAAAGGAGGTAGGTAATACACTAACTAACGGCAACTCACGAGAAACGCGACAGTTAGTCTATCATTTTCTCCCTTTGTCGATAGGAACCACCCATTTCAACCAATAGAATCGCTCCATACTTCCTGTGTCTTCTTTGTCTATAGCTTTGTCCATCAATTTCAATAATCAGTCCGCAGCGGGCCGATTATTGTAATTTATAGACAAGGCAATAGACAAAAAAGACAAAAAGGATTTGGATGGATCCTATTGGTAGAAGCGGGTGGTTGCGATGGACAAAGGAAGTAGGTAATAGACTAAGTGGATCACATTTTGCCATTAGGAACTATAAATTTCGGCTCAGTTTGAAAACAACGTATATGCCATTAGTTTTCCTGTGCACACAAGTGTTTTTTCGGATGAGCAAGAATTTATAGGTCCAAATTGCAAAATGCAGTCCAAGTAACGGAAACCCACGAGAGACCCGACAGTTAGTCTATCATTTTCCCCCTTAGTCTATGAGAATCACCCATTTCAACCAATAGGATTGCTTTATACCCCCTATGTCTTCTTTGTCTATAGCTTTGTATATTAATTTCAAAAATCGGCCCGCAGCGGGCCGATTATTGAAATTTATAGACAAAGCGATAATTTCGTATAATTCTGTGCAACACCTCTGTTGTGAAATAGTTGCTTCAGGCGCCGCCGCACGGTGGGCGGTCGGCCAGCTCGAGACGCATTGCCGTCTACAAACCTAAGTGGATACTTCAAGCATTGTGCAATGCGTGAAGTATCCACTTAGGTTTGTAAGCGCCAGTGAGCCTCTCGCGCTGGCAGCACGCCGCCGCTCCGCTCTGTTAGGCTTTAATATTAATACGCGCATAGTCAGCGTTTTTTAACTCATGATTTTGACATGATTTCACACTCTTCATTGATTATTCTCATTTAAATTGATGGGAAAAACATATGTATCAATTTATCCAAGGACAATAATAATATAATGTGTGTTTTTTTAAATATTGGGGGTTCCGTGTCAAATTTAATGATTTCCAAAGCAACAATGATCCGTGCTCGGCTTGAAAGAAAGATTTCAATAAATTGTCGAGCCAATCGTATTTTCACGATTGAGTCAGTTCTGATTGAGTGCTGCTTTACGTAAGATTCACAGATTAGAAAATACGTCAACTGAAACAAAAAAACCAGCCAAGAAGAAGGGTTGGTGGAATGGGAGAGAGATGTCATTCATTCAGCGTTCAGTCTCGGGTATACCTAAATCGAAAAAAAAATCCTCAGATGAAATATTTGACATTCATTCAATTAGCGAATGGAGAAATAAGGGAGGGAGAATTATTCATCGAAAACGGACAAATAAACAGACAAACAAACAAACAAACAAACAAACAAACAAACAGCAAACTATTGTTGATTATTCGTGAATCCCTCGGGAGAAAAAAACTTGAATATTAATTGGAGGAAACAGAGGGACGCAAAGAAGTTCACAGATTACCCTAGTGAGAGGAGAGGAGCGGAAGTCAAGGATGAAGCTATTGATTTTCTGTAATTACTCCGCCGGGAGGGAAATTTGAAACGATTCCCCTGGAAACGCTTGATTCCGTATAACAATGATGGTTGATGAGTAGCTCTAATTCAATTATTACACCATGGCTGATTCACTCACATCCGCTCAGTGGGTCTTTACAAATCCATTTCACAATCAAAGAGGACACTAATGCAGAAATGAGGTCCAGTGTGCTTTACATTTGCACGTGCACTAAAATATGCTTTCAATTGAGGAGCTTTCCGGGAAAAGGGCACGTGGCAAAAAATTGCGTTTGAGAGAAGTGCATCTGAAGTTTTGATCATTACTTTATGGCCACTGACAGTGACTTTTGTTCGAAATCAGGAGTCCATGCTGCGATGAAAGGTACCATCAATGGCCAGAAATTAATGATGGAAACTTCAAATGCATTTTTCTCAAACGCTATTTTTTGCTATGTGCCCTTTTTCCGGAAAGCTCCTCGATTATTATTTTATCCCCCTTTATATTTCTTCTAAACTATGATTTATTCCACAAAGGACTTAGTGAATCAAAATCAAAGCGGGAAATTCCATAGGCGATTCGATAGTCCAGGAATTTTTTTTTTCCATAGGAAGAATCTTATAGTATTTGTATGCAAAAATAGCACTTGTGATCGTGAATGGCGTAAAAAGGACTAGGGGAAGTATTTAAAAGATATGAAATAAGTACACCATAGCGGAGAGGTGTTTACATTGCACCATTTGGTGCAGCGAACCATCAGAAGTTTCGAAAACTGACTTTTTGAGGACACTTCAAAGTTTGAGAGCCAGATTATTACAAAAAAAAGTTCAGTCAGTGTTTTGAGACAGTGGCACTGAGAAAAATTTGTCTCTGGCACCAATTACGAAAACTTTTGCAACATGGCTAATCAACATTTTTCGCCAAGTTTAACAATATCTAAGTCAATTACGTATAAGCAAACACTCGACGTCATTCGGTAACTCGAATTCCAGATGGGACTGGCGCTTTTGTCAACTTTAGATGCAGTTTCTTCCAAATACTTTTTACCTCCTTTGTAGTGTAGATTACGACTTAAAATTTTAATTGACCTTGTGTGCTTGAGAGTATTATGGGGTGAATAGCTTCAAAAGTAGAAAATTGATAATATTGAATTGAGTCACGTTTCCTCGCCATACTCCGACGACAAGTGAGCTTTCATCGTAAATCCCATTTTGCCTGACTCCATGTTGGAAGTTGTTAAATATTGATTTCTAAAATATTGGAAAGGAACTACCACAGTGAGTGGGATTGCATCCGCCCGTTTCAATGTGATAGGCACATAATCCAATTTATGCACTCTATTTCCGAGTCTGGAGTAACTGAGTTAAGCCTAGCAGCATAAACGTTAATTGATAAGGTTTTCTCATCGAATCCATCAAGCACCACGCTGCGCTGCCGCCTCATCACGGTTTCCCTAGAGTCTCTATATACTGAGAGTAAAGACAATACGAATCAATTTCTGATTGGTTACCGTATTTTAGGCCTCCACAATGTTCCAAACGGGAATAAAAATTAAATTTTCACCGATTGCAAAGATTATAAGCTGGAATGGACCAGGAAATAGAGGGAACGGCTAGGAACAAACGGAATGAGAGAAGAAACGGAGACAGAGATTCGAGAGTGAGTTGATCAAAGATATTACGAAAAACGTTCCATTTGTGCAATCTTTATTCCCGTTTATGAAATCCATGAGCCGCGTTGTCTTAACTCTCTCTATAAAGGGACTCTTGGCTTCCCGTTCAAACTGAGTTTGTGTGACCAATTATAATTCTACCCTAAAAACATTCTATTTACCCTAAATATGTTGTATTTACTCTGAAGATATCATATTGAGGCCCGTAAGTTTTAAAGTCAAATTCCGAAAGAGATATTAACAATAAGTCTTTTAAATACAGATTAAATGGAAGTAAAATTATACAAATGACGTCATTTGTAGTTTTGCCATTCGACCAATGTTAATAGAGAACACTTATGTCTTGTTCAGGAGTTGATTTCCAGCCTTCCCGTTGTGTAATTCGATTCCTTGCGGAATTTTGAAGAGAAATCACGTAGCGTTGTGCTTTATTCAAACCTTGTCTAGAGGTCCATTGTCACACCCCTGCGTTTGTGAAGCACGTATTTGACTTGATTTCGCATAAATTTACTCCTTTTTTGCGAATGAACGCTCATTTTTTGCTTCCTTGGTTTAATATTGGAATCTGAAGATTGGCAGTGACAAAAAATGTTTTGTGTTGGAAGGTTGGCTGCACTTTTGGGCCCTAAGAGCTCCGCATTTCAATATGGCCGTACTATCCCTGTATTGATACTCTAAACAAAACTAGGCTTTCTTCTCCTGTATCATGTAGATCGTATTCGATACATCAAACAGGGGATATCGATCGATGTATCGATCGACATGTAGACACAGCCTCCAAAGTTGATTTGGAAATCTGAGGGAACAGGTCTTTTGCAGGTCTTTTGTGATAGATTTTTTTTATTCTTTTGAGTACTAAATGCTAATGAAAAGTGAGATTGTTAGGAATTTTCACGTTTTCATATTTTCCATCTTAAATCCTAAACTTTTTGTTTAAGGTTAAATTCATTTTTTTTTTCGGGTGTGATTTTTTATTGTTTCGAACCAAACGATACATCCAACCACTATTCCATCGAGCCTGAGCCGAATGATGGAGGAAAAATACGCTTTAAATCGGATCCCAGGGGCCCCAGCTATATGGCGAATGAGCCTAACGAACTACGACGTTGCAGATGAGGAGACGTCGCCGACACGTAGCACGTCACGTACGTCCGTGTCACGAGGAGCCCAGTCTCCGTCCGAGTTATGACGGAAAAGCAAAAACGCGGCTACGCTCGCGGTTCCTAAGCAAGTACCACGTATCTCCGAATGGAAAACCTATGTTGTTGGGCGGTTTTCGCTAAACACGGCCGTAACTCATGACTGGTATTTTTATCACGTCGCCGATATCCATTATTGACGGGAAATCCGAGCCTCCGGGGCATTATTGGCCGATGCTCTGAGTGTCACGCCGTGCACCGATTGTTGATGTTACCCCGAACACTGCCGCGCTGATGAAAAACGACTTATGAGCTTTCGAACGTTGCCAAATTTCCATCGATAAGACAAGAATCCTCCGGGAAAGTTTCAGATATTTTTCA